TTATTTGAACGCAAGAATAACACAATGGGGAGAGTCTTTGAGAGATGTTGGTACCTATGCTCGTAGTGAAATGCACGAATGTCAACTTTGGAGAATTGAAGAATCGGACGAAGAGAACGGGGAATATTTTTTTATTGTAAACGTAAAACACTCTAAATTTAGGCTGGCTAAATGGAGTGGAGATGTTAAAACAGTTGTTGTGTATAGTGGCAACCATTACCCGGATCAATTATGGAAATTTGTAAAAGTTGGTGAATATTATCGCATTTTTAACTTTTTATTTCCAGAAGCAAAGCTAGCAAAACCAAGTGCCGACGATAATGCTTTTGTGGCTTATTCTGGAAATGATTACGGTGATCAGCTTTGGAGACTAGTACCTCGCTACCAAGCCTCTTCTGTGGATTCAGTAATCTTACATATTAGAAACGGAGGATCAATGACTATTACTGAACAGAGAACTGTAACTGTTGGTGTGACAGTGGAAAATGAAAATTCTGTATCTGCAACAGTAGGTTTTTCTGCTTCTGTTTCAGCGTCACTTAAAGGTATATTTGATGTGTCACAAGAAATAAGTACAAAAACTTCTTCAAAAATATCATCAAAAGATACCACCTCATGGAGCAAAACAAGTATCGTTACTTATGAAATAAAACCTCGCACAGAGTATACTGTTTTTCAAAAAACTATCGATTTTGACAGCTCTCTTCCTTCAGGAAGCTTTTAATTTCTTTCTAATAATTATGTTAGAGAAAAAGCTATCCAGTAATTTTATTTTCAGGTTATGATTGTAATATTTTTTAAAAGGATGCAATCAATATTTATAACAAAATTATTTCACTATTTAAATTTGTTTTACCCAAAAACTTAGCAAATAACGAGGATTTTTGCAACAATTTTTGGCACTATACTTAAAGCAATATGAAGAATAATAAAACCGCGCTAAAATGACTGCCTAAAATTTGTTAAAATTGCTGTCTTATTTAGATAATTTTTTTTTTTTTTTAAATAACATTAAATTCATTCAAACTAATGTTAGTTATTGAAAAAAAGATGTTAGCGCTTAGATGGATCATTTTATTATTATTATACTATTATAATATATTGGATTTATAATCAATCTTAAAATAACTAGCGGTCGGGACCCATAAAATACGGGTCTTGATAAGCCTATTTAACACAAACCATTTCTATACTTATTAACTTAATAAATTTGCATATAAATATCTATAACATAGATTTTAGTTACGTATCATTTTCCACAAAAACATTTACGAAACATTTTCCACAGAAACATTTCACAGAAACATTTTACGTAACATTTTTCACAGAAACGGATCAGTGAAACCTAGTTATGTCAAATATGTTAGCTCTCTCTATTTTATGTAACTTATAGGAACTTTTCTAAGACAAACTCTTTACAAAATCGTTTAATAAAGCTGTTTTTAATACTGGCTTTGGCAATATTTTAAAATTGTTTTTAACTGTTGTTTGTGACAAAAATTGGCAATAAAAAGGTATGTAATAGAAAGCATCATGATCATAATCACCAAGCTGATAAAAGTGTAAACGGTTTCAATACATATATAAAAATACCACGGATATGTAAAAATCATAGTAAAAATGGCCGATATATCCATTCGAAATATTAACTTTAAAGAGAAAAAATGTACCAATTTGCAAAGGAGACAAAAAACGCACTTTTCTTGAGATAAAATGAAAATATTGATACACTTTTGTAAACAAAATAATAAGAAAAGTTTTTACAACATGCTGTCGGGACTCGCACGATACAGTTCTTGGTAACTATGTTGAACACCCAACTATATCTAAAGATTTTCTTATTTTTGCCTCTATACTTTAATAAATATACGGCAGAAAGTAAATCAATTTAAATTTTTTGGTATTTAGTTAACAACTTGCTATACTATATGTTTTTTCCATAACAAAGGTATTTTTAACGTAGCTGACAGTTGCGCAACATTGTTTCCGGTGTTTTTGGAAACTTAAAATTACAAAAAAAAAAAATTATATAAATTAATTTTTAAAGACCCTTTCGCATGAAGATTTGATTACAAAGCAAAACAGGACAAAAAATGGACCATGGTTCCTAGTTATGTCAAATAAATTAGCTCCATCTGTTCGGAATTTTTTTTTTTTGAGAAACCTTTCTGTAAAGTACTCTTTACAAAATCTTTCGTTTAAGCTGTTTTCAATACCGATTTCGACAATTAAATAATAATAATTATAGCTGTTGTTTGTGAAATTTTATACTTATAGCAAATACAAATCATCTGCATTGTAAGGTGATAAAAGTATAAATGGTTTCCATTCATATATAAAAATTACAATGAAAATGTTAAAAAAAGCAAAACTAGCCGATATATCAATACAAAATAAAAAAGATTATCAACTCTTTTTGAAAAAATAATGCTAAAAAGAAATAATCTCAATAAGATAAAAGTATATGCTTTTATTTAAAAAATGAATCCTTGGTTTTTAGTGAATGATTATCAGGGTTGTAGTCAGCCCAATGGCAATCAAGAGATTAAGATATTAGCTTGTTAGAGTTTATTAGAGTAAAATCCATAAATAAAGACTCAACTGGAGTTTTCTAATTCAGTTTAAATTATTAAGGATTATCAATTTATCCAAAGTTTATTGTACTCTCGATTCCTTTGTAAAAAAGCAACCAGAAAGAAACTTTATATTTTTAAAATAAAATTTTTCTTATTCATTATTTAACTTAATTTATTATTTTCAGTTAATTAGTTTTGAATCCGTTTACTAAAAAAAAATTCAAACGCGCTTTTATATACTCGTTGTCGCGCCTCATTAAACAGATTAAATTTTTTTTAAGGATTAACGAGAATCTATCGGAATCGAGAGACTCGATGACACGAGAGACTCGATGACACGAGAGACTCGGAGTCGACAGACTCGATGACACGAGAGACTCGACTGTCTTAACTGATTGAATGATTGGATGTTTCTTAAAAAACTAGAAGGCATGATCATCATCATCATATATATATATATATATATATATATATATATATATATATATATATATATATATATATATATATATATATATATATATATATATATATATATATATATATATATATATATATATATATGTATGTATATATATAATATATTAATTTTGTTATGTGTATATATATTTATGTATACTTAGTTTACTAAATTAAATTAAGGTAATCCAGATATTCATTACATTTTCAGAAAAAAAAAAAGTTTTATATACAATAATGACTAAGAAATGTGCTTGTAATCAAAATTCCATTTTCTATTATAAAAAGTATATTATTTGAAGTTAAAAGAACCAAAGTGTAAAGCCTGGAGTTTAAATTCCTCTTAAAAATATGGGCCTGATAAGACCTATTTCTTAAGTAAAAAAATAAATAATTAAGCTTACCAGTAGAACCGATAGCATCAGGCTTTTATCAATAACGAATATATTATGATTTTTTTTATCTGTATAGCATTAAAATAGTAAATACTTTTTTAAAGAAAGAAAAAGAACAGAGAATAAATAATAATAACAAAGATTACATTTAATAAAATAGTTATAACACTAATATGAGATTCGATCAAGATTGTTACTGTCGTTTAAAAAACATCTCTTAAAAACAACTTTTTCATTGAATTGTTATTTAAATTGAGAGCAAAATATTTGAGCATTTCTTTGAAATAATTATTGAGTTACAAATCTTTAGCAAGTAACACATACAATCATCATGCAAACGTTAAGAAGCCAATTACAGCATGGTACAGTAAATTCCTGGTTATTCGAACCTTCTGGGGGAAAAAGAACTAACTTTGAATAATCGAAATTTGCAAAATAGTGAATTATTTACAAATTTTTAAAAAGTCATCCTTCTTACATAACGCTTTTATTAAAAAAAAAACGAATTATGAAGAAATCCTCTATTCGCAATTTATTTTTGTTTCTAATGAGTGCTTTTCAAACATCTTCAATACTAGGCTTAATGATTGTTAGATTTTGACGCCATTATTGTCAAGAAAAAGAGAAAAACATTTAAGTACCTCTATTGTACGTGCAACCTCTCATAATTTTATCAGAGATTGCATGTGAAAAAAGGTACTTAAATGTTTTTCTTGATTAAAATTACATCTAGACCTTTTTGATTCGTACAGATTTTAAAATCTATATTGACGTCATAGTCAGCAGTTTTTTCTCTATTTAATAAACCACGTGATTACAGCTCAATGACCTTTTCTTCAAGCAATTTGAAATAATCAGTTTCACCACTTATATTTGCAATTTATATTTCTTTCAAAATATCTGTCCTTTTAAAACAATTCTTTACAGTGCTTGTTGATACAGCATCACATGACCTGACTAACATGGTCATAGTTTTAAGAAAATTGATCTTTGGGGGCGTTTTACCAGCATCAATATATTTGATTTGATGCTTAATAAAATTTGTGCATTTTAGCACAACTTGTGCCTTTGATGGTCTAATGACTTCCTGGTTCTATGGTTGAGTTTTGGAGTTTCTTTTGAATAGTTGGTGGTTATTTGGATGAGTTTGCGAAGAAAAATTTATGGGAAATAAAAATTTTTCAAAAAAGGGAAAAATTTAAATAAGTAGCAGTTCGAACAACCGTGAGTTTATTATGTTTGTCTTTTCGGAATAGTTTTTACAAAATCTAAAAGTTTAAAATAAATTTTTTGTTAACGAATTGTTAACATGTTATAAATAAATAAATATGAAAAAACGATGCCATTTATATGTAAACTATTACCTAACAAATATGTAAACGCTTACTAACTCAAAGACAACAAAAATTTTTTATTTAGTTAAAATAAAAAGTTTGTAAATAATTTAAAGATATTAGGAAGTTTAATCGCTAAAGTATAATCAAATCTAATAAAAATACAGATAATATAGCTGCGTCAAATACACATTATTTAAAAAATAACTAACTGAATGCATTTTTTTATGACTTACGGCATAATCCGTCAAATAAATAATAACCGCATCCACATACACATATTGCAGTTTTTTTTAGAGTTATCACGCATTGACTGTTGTCTGGACATGCAAGCAGCGTACACAAATCTAAAACATAATTGAATTATTTGTATAACATTTAGGCTGAAAATTTAGGTTAAACAATGTTTGACCAGTTTAATAATATAATAAATAATAAACTATAAAAACTATGAAAGATAATACAATTTTGAAATGTGCAAATTTTTTTACAAAAAAAACACTTCTTAAAAAAAAAAAAAAAACTTTTTATATACAGTATTTACAAAGACATGAGCTTGTCATCTATACTCTATTGTTTATAACGGAAAGTATACCATTTTAAGTTGGGGATGACAAGCGCAAAGCATAGAGTTTAAATTTCTTTTTTTTTAAATACCTCAAGTACATGGAAAGACCTATTTTATTAAATGATAGAAACAAATACAGTGCAACAAAAAGTACTTGTAGCAGATATTCAATAAATTTGACAATAAAGTGACAATAAATTTATGACATATTTATATAAAAAAACCTCTAGAATTTAAAACCTAAAAATTATACTAGCATAAATATTTATAGGCACATTTTACATACCAGAGGATAAAAAATTTAAAATTTTCCTATTTATTAGTATTTGTTTTCTTATTGTGGATGTCAACTTAAACAGACAATACAGAGAAAAATAGATTGAAGGTAATAAAAATTCGTAGGCTTGAAATCTGATAAAATCCATAATAGTATAGCATCACACATCACTTATAAAAGATTTCCAAACTTTTAATCAATAATTTGTAAATAGGAAAAGAAATATACATAATTGCTGATAAATGTTAGAAAAAAAAAGTCGACAAAACAACAAATAAATAAGTTGGTAATAAATAAAATTGGATATGAAACAAACAAAAAGTGATTAGAAAAAAATTTAGGTTAAACAATAAGATGAATGTTTTACATAAAAAATTTAAATAACTCTAAATTATTTGGTTTTTTTAAGCTGTATCAATAGGGATGTGATTACACACCTATTAATACAGCTTAAAAAGGCCAAATAAAAAAAATATATGCTGAAATGAGTACTACCAGGTCTTAATTATGTCACACAAATAGTAAGTGACCGGAGCCCCTGCCCCAGCTAAAAATTAGGGTTTTTGGAAACCCAGTTCCAGCAAAATTATAAGCTTTAGCAATGGTTCATAGCCGGGTCAAGAAAAAAACTTATAATACTTAATATATAACCACTTTTAAACTCTAATATATTTCAAACAAGATTGCAAAAAACCACTATTAAGCTATGAGTTACTTTAAAATAGAGAATAAGTTAAAATACTAGGAAACTTAAAACTGAAGACTTAAAAAGTTTTCAGTTTTACAAATCAGGAAAACATGAAGTAGAAAACATGAAGTAGGGTAAAACTATTAAGGTTTTTTTATGTTCAAGGAAAAAAACTGAATAATAATAGTTTTTTTAGCGTGAAAGGTATAGATATAGTAAAAGGATGAACTTGTTAAATAAAAAGCCTATAAAGAATGAGTTTTGGTTTACAGTATTAGATATAATTGCTTGTTTGAGCATAGACCATGATTGTATTTGTAGAAAAAAAAAAGATGTGCAACCTTACAACAATGAGAGGGTTACTCAAGCTTGCCAGATAAAGCAGATATAATTGTTACTCTCACACAAATTCTGAAAGCACATTTACAATGTGCTTTCAAACTTTGCCTGACAGTAAGAAAGTTGTTATTCCTCAAAATAGCAATGGCATCAATATTGCAATTTTTTGCAAAGTAAATGTTTTTTTTTTTTAAAAAAAATTACGGATTTTGCCAAAAAGATTGCAATATGTTTTTTAGTTAATTTATAAGTTTTGCTGTGTAACAAAAGTTCAGAATTTAAATCACTTTTTTAAGACTATGATCAAAATCTTGTGCACAAAATGTGTTTAATTGAGAATTAACTTTAGCATTAAAAGCCAGAGAAATTTCCATGTTTAACTATGGGTTAATCTGTTAAACTCTCAGGAAGAGAATGGTCATTATATTCAAGAGTCTAATTAGAGTAAAATTTCTTTGCAAAAAACTCTGCTTTATTCAAGGGAAATGTCAAAAGATATGAAAGACCTATGAATGAGAGATTAAATGTTAGACTTACTTTAGTAAGTCTAACATTTAATCTAACATTTAAAACTAACCAAAAGTCTCTAGAACCTAACATCTGAGATAAGATACAACATTTAGCTCCGGCTATATTTTTTTCAAATCCGGCCCCAGCCCTGGTCAAATATTTACCCTGGTCATTTACTACACACAAATGCTAAAATAACAAACTATACAACTTTTTAAATCAACAATCATTACATAAACAAAATGCACTGCTGCAAATAAATATTGGTTGCCTTTTATAAAATTAAAAAAATTAACTAAAAATAAGATAAACTCAAAATGTAAAGAAAAGCTTTTGTAAATACAAGTATCACAAATGTATTTTGTAATATGATCGCAAAAAAATAGAATGTAACCAAGACTCTATTTCTATAAAATGCATTGCTAACAGATAATTATACAAAAAATTATAAGAAAAGTTTTCTTTATATAACATAGAAAATAACAGAACGTAAACCATTTTCAAGTTAATAAAAACAAAAATCAAAGTATGGAGTTTGAATTTCTCTTCAACAAAAAAAAAAAAGGATCTAAAGTGCCTGATAAGAACTAAGTTATTAAACATTTTTTAAAATAAATAAATTTAACATTTATTAAAATATTTTTAACACTGATATTAGATTTTATCAACATTGACATTGTCCTTTGTAAAACTTCTTTTTTTTTAATTTTTTTTTATCTTTTTAAACTGTCCTTCATAAAACTTCATAAACCTTTTCATAAAAAGGTTATTTGAATCAAATGAAAAAAAATTTGAACGTTTATTTGAAATAATCATTGACTTTTAAAACTTAAGCATCATCTGGGTGACACATTCAATCATCATGAAATAGTGGATAAGCCAATCACAGCAAGATATTTGTCTTTTTTGGAAAAGTTTTTACAAAAAATAAAAAACTAGTATATCTTTAAAAAATTAAAAACAGCAATATGAAAACAAGGGTGCAAATAAAAATTAAAACTTAAAATATGCAAAAATGCATTATATACATTAACAAAAAAGAAATGTGCTTATAACCTATATATCATTGTCAAGAAATTGTATTGCTAACAGATATTTATAATATATTTTAGGTGACAATTGTTATAAATTTAATCATACAACAATTTTACAGGCCAACCACATTATGTTTTTTTAAAAGGGGCAGATTATACAAAGTTAAGATTTTCAAAATTTTATCTTTTGATAAAAAATAATGTCAAAAAAACTTACTATGAAAAAAATCAAGCCGTTTAAAGATGTAAACTAACAATTAACTAATATAATTGTTAAGACGATTAAAAATAAAAAGTTTATTTAGTTAAAAAAAACAACTTGTAATTAATATTATAGTTGTTTTGTAAGGATTTCTACTGTAAAAAAATTGACTATAAATCAATTCTTCAACTCCATGAAAATAATTAAAACAGCTTTCATAAAGAAACAGATACACATAGCTGCCTTAAGCACACATTATAAGATAACCATTAATACTCTTTTTTTTAACTTACTGCATGATTTGTTTTATAAACATAACCACTTTGACATATGCATGTTGCAGTCTGTTCTTGACTAATTGGACATTTACTTTCAGCTGGACATACACCCGGTGTCACACACGGGTCTTCAACTAATAAAAAAAAAAAAAAAAAAAAAAGGATTAACAATGTAACCAATGTTTATGATACCATAAAACACAAAAAAATACTTTAAAACAAAGTCATTTAACCATGATTAAATAATAAAAAAAAAAAATTAACAAACAAATATTAGTTTCGTTTAATAAAAGTAAAATTTAACAAATAAATGTATTGAAACAAAAAGTCAATGTATGCAAAGACAGTTTTACTTTTTTTGAAGAAAAATGTTTATGTTTATTTAAAAATGTTTTATATACATTAATTTCAAAGTAATATGCTTGTAACCGGTTTATTATAGACAATAAATTTTATTGCAGACGATTCATTAAAATATTATAATAGTTATAATAAGACAATTAAGTAAAAAAAGTTTATTTAGTTAAAAAAAAAATTCGTAAGTTTTATTTGAGTTTTTAGATAAATTTTTTTAGAAGATTACTATAAAAAGGTCACTAAAATAGATTTAAAACATTTCTTTAATTGCTAAAAAATAGTTAAAAAAGCTCTCATAAAAAACAGATGCATATAGCTGCGACAAACACATATAAAAAGATAATTGTTTATATTCATTTTTTTAACTCACTGCATGATCCGCCATAGAATTAATAACCATCTTCACATAGGCATATTGCAGTATTGCTTGGACCTGTTATACATTTTATGTTACATATTGATTAAGTAAAAAAATATAATAAAAAATGCACAGAAGAAAACAAATACTAGATTCCTTTAATAAAAATGAATTAAACAAACTTTAAACTCAAATAATACAAAAAAAAAATGTTTTTTATGCAACAATAACAAAAAAATGTGCTCTTAATTAATTTTTCATTGTCTGAAAATGTGTTGCAAAAAGATATTTATAAAATATTTTTTATGTTATTTATAAAATCCAACGGAAATAATACAAATTTAGGTTAAATTAATAAAATATAAAAAACATAAAGTTTATTAAAAAAAAAGTATATAAAGGACCTGATTGGATTTAATTTATTAAATAAAAAACAAATCATCTTAAAAACTGTTAAGCGTACCAGTAGTAGCTGGAGGATTTGGATTCGCTAATACTATAGTAAAAAAATACTAATTTTAACCTGTATAACATTAAAATAGTAAAATTTAAAAAAACAAAACTGTAAACAAACATTATTAAATAAGTTTATATTTCATTTAAAAAAAACAATAACTGAACATAAACAATGATAACTAATTTAACATTTATAAAAATAATTATAACACTAATATGAGGTTTTATCAACATTGACTATGTCCTTTATGAAACTTCTTTTAAAAATAACCTTGTTTTTTTTAGGGTATAGATTATACAAATTTAAAAGTTTTAATTTTGGAAAAAATAATAAAAAACAGACTTATTTTGGAAAAAGCAATTCATGTATGTAAACAAATATTTAACTAATATAATTGCTAAAACAATGAAATAAAAAAACTTTCTTTAAATAAAAAATAAAGTTATTAGGTAAAGATTTCAGTAAAAAAACATTACTACAAAACAATTTTTTATCTGCTGAAAAAGATTAAAGCAACTTTCATGAAAAATACATGTGTATATAGCTGTGTCAAACATTTTTTTATGAGATAAGCAATCGTAGTCATTTCTATAACTTACTGCATGATTCGCCATTATAAACATAACCCCTTCGACATATGCATGCTGCAGTCTTGTGTAGACTAATCAGACAATTACTTTCAGCTGGACATACACCTGGTTTCGCACAAGGGTCTTTAACTAATATTAAAAAAATAAAGGAATAACCTATGAACGTTTATAATACTATAATACACAATTAAACACATTACAACTATATTATTCAGATATGGATAAATTAAAAAAATGTACAAACAAATATTAGCTTTCATCAATGAAAGAAATATTTAACGAAAGAATATATAAACAAAAATAAAAATAAAAACAAAAAGTATCCTACAAAATACTTAACATTTTCTTAAAGAAATATTTTATATACATTAATTAAAAGGAAATGTGCTCACAAACTATATATCATTGTCAATAAATTCTATTGCAAACAGATATTTTTAATATAAATAGCAAAAAGCAACCCGTAAAACGGATTTAGGTCGGTCTGCTACATAATTAAATTATAGTGGCTGTTTTCCACAATTTAATGTTGCAAAACCTTAACTAATACCCTTTTAGAATATCGCCTTCAGCTTGAAAAAACTATTCCATCTGTAAAATTAACATAAAATGTATAGGGAGGTAAAATAATTTACCAACTACTACTTAACATTTACAATTACTACTTAACATTATTTAAGTAATTTACAAATGGCATAGGTCATAACAGTGTAAGGCAGAACCATTTTCATCGACTTTCCTAAGTTCAACACAATACATTTTTAGTTACTGATACAAAATAATAACACTCGGTCATGCTTTAAATTAACGAAAGAATCAACTAAATCCTTGTAATAATTTTTATAATACGAACCATTAAGATTAAAATGAAGTTAACTTATATTATACAAGAATTATCAATTTTTTGGTATCCCTGTGTGGTTCATTTACAAATCATAATGTTTTAATATGTATACTAATATATTCTCGTATAATAATGTACAATAATGTAAAAATGTGGTCAAGAAGTTACAACGTTCGCGTAGAAGCAGAGTAAGAGTTAGAGAGAAAGCGCGGGATTAACCGCTGACAATATAACACAAATAACAAAAAGTCATTGCCGCGCTAGTGAGCGCGACATTCCCGCCCCCAATTAATTTATAACGAAATGTTTAATGTCTTTTTCATCGCAGAAATTGATCTTCATTGTTTCAATAGGGGCGTCCAATGCTTCTAATAAATACAGTTTATTTACAGGTCTTTGAATGTACATTGTTTTTCCATTCATAATGTATCTAACTTTGGCAGCACGGATGAGTCCGTCAGATGATTTACTGAGGCTCTGAACAATGTCTGTCTTCCAATTACATCGTTGGGTGTCTGAGTCGTGAATCAGTATAACGTCGCCGAAGGCTATTTTATTTGTTCCTTTATTTTTCTTACATTTGTTGAATTCTCTAAGTTCGGTTAGGTACTCTTTTTCCCATCTTTGCCAAAAATGATTTAATGTATCTTCTATGTATGTAATTCAGGTGTTCAAGTTTAATTCAAAAGTTTTGTCGTTAATAGCTTTAAAGTTAGTTGATCTTCCATATATTAAATGATTGGGAGTAGGTGGTAAGTCTCCAGGTGATTCATACATAAACGTGATTGGTCGATTGTTCAATATTGATTCTACTTCAGCAAGAAATGTTAATAGTTCTTCGTATGAAAGCTGATCTTTTTGTGTTATTTTGCGAAGGCAGCGTTTAGTGGATCCAACTTGTCGTTCAAAGAACCCTCCCCACCACGGAGCAGCGGGGATGTTGAAATACCACGTGATACCGAGAGATGAAGTAAAGGTTTGAGTAAGATTGTAGGTAAATTGTGATCCGTTGTCTGAGAAGATTTTGGAAGGTGTGCCACATTTCGCAAAAAATCTCCGTAAACTTCTTATGCATGATTCAGCAGAAGTGTCCGTAACAAGACCAAAAAATAAAGCACGTGTAGTAGCACATGTAAATAAAAATATCCAAACTTTTTATAAATTATTTCCCTCATAAATATTTTTAATGTATAATGGTCCTGCATAATCTACATCTGTACATTTGAATGCATGATCATTGCTTTAGGTATCTAGAATTGAGTTCGAATTTGGTTTAAAGTTTCTTTAACGCCGTTGAGCATAACTAAATAATGATTATGATAAATAACTAAGTTTGTAAATTTTGTATTTCGAGGTAGGAATATTAGGTTTTTTGCGTCGTGTATAATTAGTGCGTTTTGTAGTCGACCAATGCATCGTATGATTCCATCTATATTTTTTAAGTTTAGGTCTAGTTGCAGTTGCTTAAAATTTTTATCAGTAGTTATTGGTCTTTGAAGGAATATAATCCATGTCTTAAATGCTTCTTCTATTTCAATTGAATCTAAATTAGATAACTTTAAATGTTTTTTATCTTTTTTAAGTTTTAAATTAGTAATAAATTGTAGTACAAATGCTGTAACTCTTAACAATCGCAAATAGTTATTAAATCAAGTAATGTCAATTATACTTAAGTCTAAATAATGTTCATTTAAAACTAAATTAGTAGTAATTTATTCGATTAAATCAATTACATTTCTTAATTCAAATTTTGGCTAGTCCTTTGGATCATTATAAAGAAGTGCTGGTCCGTTGAACCATGTTTTATTACTAGATAAGGTTTTTTAGTTTGTACCTCTAGATATTATGTCAGCAGGGTTGTTGTGTGTTTCAATATATCGCCAATGCAAAATGTCAAATGTTTTTCTAATTTTTATAAGTCTCTTTTGTAGAAATGGCTGTTTAAATTTATCAATATTATTAATCACACTAAAAACAGAATCACAAACAGAATCACACCAACCGACTATTTGTTTAAATGTAAGTACAGGGTATAAATCTCTTTAAACTGTTGACATAGTTTTAGCTAATAATAGGGCTGCCTTTAACTCAAGTCGGGGAATAGAGGTATTTTTATTTTGGTCAATCCTAGACTTAGCAATTATAAGTGAACATACTTTGTGCTTATCATCAAAGGAACACAAGTATATACAACAACTAAATACTATACTACTGGCATCACTAAATCCATGCAATGAAAAGTCAACCACATGATTTGAATAATTATTATGGTACCACCTTGGAATGATAATGGGTTTAGAGGATTGAATGTCATTGATAATGGCTTGCCACACCAATAACATTTTTCCCTCAAAAGGCTTGTCCCAATTAAGTTTTTTGATACATAGTTTTTGAAAGAATACTTTACACTTGACTATAAATGGATTAACTATACCAAGTGCGTCATAAACACTTGCAATAAACTGAAGAACTTTACGTTTCGTTAGAATCGAGTCATCATTGTGTGTCAAGTTTCTAAAATCAAATATTAAGTTGTCTTCTTTTTTATTCCATAATAAGCCTAATACTTTAGTAAGATTAAAGGAGGTAAAATTTTGTTCATTAACAAGGTTTTCAAGTTGTTTGCAGTTCGATTCAAATTTTCTAAGAGTAAAGCCAGCTTCTTTTAATCGATCTTGACATTTTTGATAAAAATTAACGGCTGAGTCAAGTGAGTCAGCTCCTGAGTTCAGATCATCAACATGTAAAGAATTTATTAACAAATATAGGATCATCAGAGAGGTACTTTTCAGCGTCGGTAATGAGTGTAGCAGAAAGAAGAAAGGAAGAAGATCTAACGCCAAACAGAACTCTGCAAATTCTATATGGAATAATTTTTTGAGTAAATATATTGTCTTTATTAAGTGAGTTATTTTTTTTTTTTTTATTTTATTTATTTATTTTTTTTTTTGCAGCTTACAAAGTTAGTTGTTTAACAATACAATAAACTATTAAAATTACTTTACTAATATATATATATACAAATCGTGATAACAGTGTAAACTAGGTTTCCGAAAGAAGATCACTAAGATCTTATCATCGGAACCTTAAAAAAACATTTATAAACAATATAATTTACGAATACCTTGTAAAGTATACGTTACAGTCAAGTAAAATATATATATATATAGAACTTTTACATTAGCAAATCTTTAAATATAAATACAAAAACAAAACTTTAGGGAAAAAATAATAAAAATTCAAATAATAGAGAAATTAATTAATATTAGTCTAAAATGTTATCAAGTGAAAAAATTACATTTTTAATTTTGTTTTTAAAAAGACAAAAAGAATTTGGTCGATCAAAATCAACATTAGGTAAAACAAGTTTATTCCAAAGGTGCGATGCACGATAGGCAAGACAAAATTGATTAAAATTTGTTTGACAAAAAAGTTTGTTAAAAATTTTTTTTCTTTTAAGAGTGTATTTGTTGCTGGGTTTTAAACTAATACATGTAAAATTTTCATCTCAATAAAATAAGGTTTACAATGAGAAAAACGATCAGCTAAGTTAATTATGCGAATTGCTCGTTTCTGACAGCGATAAAGACAAAGTAATTTAATTTTTTCAGTACTTCCCCAGGCAATATTAGCGTAGTTTATGTAGCAGTGAACAAATGAGAAATAAAGTTGCCTTAAGTGTTTCTTATTGAGATACGTTCGAGCTTTGTACAAAACTCCAATGTTTTTAGAGACTTTAGTGCATATATAGTTAATATGTTGATTCCAATTAATGTTCTCATCAAGATAAACACCTAAAAACTTCATAACGGAGTCTCTTTTTATTTCAATATCATCAATAAAGATTGGAGGCAAGTTTGAGAGTAAAAATTTTTTTTTCCTTTTCGAATGAAAAAGTTAATGTTCTCGAACTATAAAAATCGGACGCTATCGCAATCTTCAGGAGATAATGTAATCTGCAAAAAGGCTTTTTCAATGTCTGCCACAAAGGCAATTTTTTGGGCACGAAAACACAATAGGATTCCATATAAAGATGTGGTTTAAGATGGTCCAGAGTAGAGACAGTCATTCAATGAAGGGCCATCAACAGAGCTGCTTGCGTCGAAGACAATTCTGACTTTAGAAGTAACTTTGTCATTTCTCAGAACTGGTTGGTGCGGTAGGTAGTGTACAATTTTAAATTTGTTTTTATCAATAACTCGTTCAATAATGCTGTTTTGTAATTGTTCTTTAAAAATGTCATTGTATAATTTAAGTAAAGAATCATTTTTACTCAATTTCTTTTGAAAACCTTTAAAACGCTTGATACATAAATCGAAGTTATCACTAAGTGGAGGATGATCTTCTTTAAAGGGCAAGTTAACATTATAGCGTTTGTGGGTATTATCATATTTAATGGTGTGACGAAATCTATCAATGACCTCTTAGTTACACTCATTTATCTCTTTAACACCTCATACAGATGTCATGGATGCTTTAACTAATGATTTGGGAGATGAACTTGATTCAACAAACATGACATGAACTGTATTTACACAACAATTATAATTTTTATTCTTAGACATATTATTGACATTAATAGGACCACTTATTAGCAATTGGATCAAAATAATTTCCCCTAATAATAGAATTTTCAATAAATAGCCAGTAATAATCTGCCCAAATCAAGACATCAATCCTTATGTTCTCGTATTGCAAGTTACTATCTGCAAGTTTTAAATTGTGTAAGTGTTTATACTTCTCTTTAGCAAGATTTATATATTGTCCATTGAGAGGCGCACAAATATCTTTTACATAACAGTTATTTTTTAAAACTTTTCCAAGTAAGCATTTAATTTTTAATTCACCTTTTTCTAGATTTTCTCTACTGCTATTATTTCCAAATGTTTCATTGTTAATATTCTTTTTTCCTACACATTCAAGTTTTAATTTGTGACACAAATCAGGTGATATGTAGCTAAGCTGCGAGCAGTTGTCAAAAAGTATTCTGCAATTATGTTATCTGTCATTTATGTCAAATACATTAATGGAAGCAGTTTAGAGTAAAATGGACTGATTATTGTTACTTGAAATGGCTGTTAGTTCACCTTTTTGTAATTCACTATTCTGTTTTTCTAGACAAAGTGCTATATGATGCTGATTACCACATTTAAAACGTTTGATACGAGATGTACAATTCTTTGATGTATGACCGCTTCCTAAACATTTAAAACACAGATGTTTCTCACTAACTATTCGTTTTCTATTTTGAATGTCTGTTATAAATTTGCAGTATTGTGATTTATGTGACCTGTCACAAAAAAGGCATTTGATAAATTGTGGTATATTAGTTGGATTATTTCTATCAAAGTATGAATTTTCTTTAGCTTTCTTATTGTAAGTAAATTGACGAGAGTATTTGTTAAAATTTGAATTTTCGTAGTTATTGTTACTTGTAAAAAATGTTTCAGTTGTATAAGTTTTATCAACACTGTTATTCAAATTTAATGAGACTTGTTCTCTTGCACGTAACTCTGATTTTAAAATGTTAATGATGGTTAAGATATCCCATGAACTGTTTTTATCAAGTTGTCTGTTTATAATTAAGTTCAGTTCTTCAGGTATTTTCTGTAGTATAATCGGAATAAGTAATGGTCCATACATTTCACTCGTAATTTTAAGAGTTTCGAGGCTCCTTATTTGTATTTCTATATTATCTAATAAATGTCTTAACTTTTCAATTTTATTTAAACTATGCACTCTTTCGAATGACAGTAGTTTTCTCATGTGGGATGATATCATATTCTGCTTATTTTCATAACGCTCCTTAAGGATGTCTAAAGCTATTTTGTAGTTTTTATTGGAAAAACTGAGACCTGAAATAGATGACAAAGCTGAACCTTTTAGCAAGTTTTGAAGATAAGTCATTTTTTGAATTTCTGAGAGATTATTGTTCATATCAATAGCACATTCAAAATTTTTTATAAAAGATGTCCACTTTTCAGGTTCTCCATCAAAATTATCTAATTTTAAAACAGGTAATTTTACTGTCTTGTTTTTAAAGTTACTAAATGTACTATTGCAGTCAGTTTTAATGTCGAATTTCTTCAACTCTTTATTAATTTTAGAAATTTCACTTTTGAATACTAAATTAAATTCTGTGGAAGATTCTACTTCATTTTCTAACTCGTCCTCAACCAGTAAGGTTATCTCTTCATCCAATTGGATGACTTTATTGTATTTTTCGTTTAAAGTGTCTTTTAAGTCACTAAGGTTACTAAACTGGTTTTCATCGTCAGTGTTGTTAATAATTTCTGAAGATTTTTCGAACAATTTGTTTAAAAGTTTTACGTTAACTGTTCTAATTCTACGTTTGCCTTGAAAAGTTGACATTTTTTTGAAAAATTAAACTAACAGATACTTATTTGCAAAACGGTAATTGTTTTAAATCTTTCCTGATTGGGTAAATAATTACTAAAGTGACAAATATTAGGTATTTTTACTTAAATCTTAATGATTGTTAATATAATAACTTTATAAATGTTCGATACAATGATAAGCTCAAAATGTTCACTTAATACTCCTTAATACTTAATATAATACTCCTAAGTATTATAATTTATAATAACAAGTAAATAGTAAATAAATGTAAATAAAACTTCACATTTTTCTTGTTTTTTAATCTTTTAATCTGTTTAAATCTTTTGCATCTTTGTAATCAAATGTCAATTTTTATTTTCCGTGGGCTCTAAATTGTGTGGTTTATTCACAAACCATACTGTTTTAATATGTATATTAATAAATTCTCGCATAATAATGTACAATTTTGTAAAAATGTGCTCAAGAAGTTACAACGTTCGCGTAGAAGCAGAGTAAGAGTTAGAGAGAAAGCGCGGGATTAACCGCTGACAATATAACACAAATAACAAGAAGTCGTTGCCGCGCTTGTGAGTGCGACAATCCCCTTGATTAATTGTTCTTTAGAAAAGAAAATCGAAGACTCCAAGGGAAGAAACGGCAGGGTCACATTTTGAATATTTTGACATTTTACACTTTTTAACTTTATAAACAATATTATTATACATTTTATCTGAATTCAAATCAAAAAAACAATTGGATGTACTTTTATAGTTTGATGGAACTTAATCACTTTTTTTAATTATACAATACATACCTCCCCAAAAAGACAAGTGTTAATGAGTTAAAATAATATTTGCAACTTACTAATAAACATAAACCAAGTTTACCATTTTTATTTTTTGAATTATCAAGACTCATACTTACGGCTATAAGTCTTTATTTTTCAAAATAATAACAGGTGATTTGGTTAATGTAAATTAAATAATAAAAATGGCGACACTTGAAATACCAATAAAAATGCTAAAAAAATCTAAGAAAAGAAAGAGTAAGGAAAGATTGCGTGAAAGTATAAAGAAACAAAGATTAGCATCGCATAAAACAGGGCTTGAATGTAACTTAAATGCTTATAGAAGAAGAAAAAAAAAATGTTAATAAGATATTTTAACTCTCTATCCAGCAAGGATGCTCAAGATTCGTATCTTGCAAGTTTAATAACTTTGAATAACGTTTCAAAAAGAAGACCACGAAACATTAATTTAAAAGATTATAATAGCAGTTACAAATATAAATTTTTAGTTACAAATCACGAGATACTCACGAGTTTGTTTATTTATGTTTGCTTTTCTGTGTTTATTTCAATCTTTGACATAAAGAATGGAAGATTAGAGACCATTAAAAGAAGCCTTTTAACTAAAGGTAATTTATATTTTTTTATTGAATATAGAATGCTTATTTTTAATGGAAGTTTTCTTATATATAAAAATTATTTTTTCTCATTATAGGTCACTTTCCCCGTGATAGAAGAGATAAACACACGAATCAGTATAACAATTTTACTCCTTAACTATAAAATATAATATGTGATCACATTTCTTCTTTTAGAGGTAGATACCAAGATCTATTAATTATAACCAAGATAAATGACTTGTTTAAAATCAAGTATAGAAATGATAAATTGTCATATGAATCTTATCGCAACATATTTAACAAAGTTTTAACATTTCTTTTGGGTACCCTTGGACAAAAACGTTCTAAATGCGATGAGTTTAAAATTAAATTTGATGCAATAAAAATTGAAATAATTTTTAATTTGGAATTAACAAAGCCTGAACAACAATTGCATGAGCTTGAGTTACAGAAAGAACAGCACCACAAACATGCAGAAATTTTTATTGTTAGGAAAAGAAATGCTTGGTTTAAAGCACAAAAGGAGTACAAATTTGAGGCAATTGCTTTTGATTTCAAAAAAAAGTCTTAACTTACCAAGTTAATCATCCAACGACTTTTACTACAAACGAAAATTAGCATTTTATTCATTTAATATTCACGTGCTTTCAAGCAATGAAGTTTATTTGTGTTGTTATGATAAAACTATAGCTAAAAAAGGGGCTGATGAAGTAACTTCGATGATTTTTTTATAAAACATTTAGACAAAGAAATTTGATCTGTAGAGCTATTTTGTGATTCATGTGCTGGCTAAAACAAAAACTATACATTAATTCGTTTTATGGATTTTGTTCATAAAAAAAAAAGGTTTGACTTTATTAAAGTTACATCTCCAGAACGTGGTCATTCTGTTATGGAATGCGATAAAAATATAGGATTAATTAATTGCAAAACACCCACTAGTGATGCATCAGATTGAATTAAAACATTCAAAAATGGTCGTAAAAAACCCACTCTGTTTCATGTTATAGAATTAACGCAAAGTATGGTTAAGAGTATAACTGATTTTATTAGACCATTTTATAAGAATAAATGCCCAATTCCAACTTGTCCTCTTTTTGAATTTTTTTCAGAGGAGACTCAAGTGGCATTGTATTTCATTGTGACTCGTGGAATGGATTATTGTTGAAAACTAATTTAAAAAATAATAGAAAGAACACTATAAATAGTGAAACCCCCATTCTGTATAATGCATCTTTTTGGCAAAGTACAGAGATTTACAAGTATTAAAAAGTTTACATCCAATGCTCAGGTTTACGATTCTTTGTCATACAATCAGGAGGTTATCAAGACATTTCATGAAAGAATTGATTCTTAAGATGAAGAGCAAATAGACTTCTTTTTTTATTTAAATTTTGTTTTTAATTATTTTTTTCTTAGTGTTTCTTGACAAACTTATAATCTTTAATATGTCTCTTCTTTGCTTCACTTCATATACAACAATTTATATAATTAATAATCACAAGATATTGATTATATCTTTTAATTATTAGTCAGGGCATGAAAATAAAAATTCAGATCAAATTAATACTAAATTGTTTTTAAACCTATAAAATTTTAAAGCCCCTTTATTATCAGGAAAGAAACTTTGCATTAAATAACTTTTTGTGCTTACAGTTTTGTGACACCTGTATAGGTATAGTTATATAGATATTTAATAGGTTTACCTTTAAATTAAAAACAAATTGAACTTTGTCATCAAGAGTGATATTTTCGAATGAAAGATTCATTATAAAAATTAAAGCCTTTTGTTTACGAGAACCTCCGAAGGACCGATTAATTAGTTCAAGATAGAGAATGTTCGAGTTTCGAGAGTATAATCCATAAATAAGGGTTCGACTGAATTCAAAAAAGTTCGAGATACCAAGTATTCAAGATATTGAGAGTTGACTGTATGTGATATTTTCATGCACGACATAAGAAGAAAAATTGAAGCCTTTGGTTAACGAGAACTATAATTATTTTCTAAACGAAAATATCAACACTAAACAGTATTTTTAATTTTAATTCGATCCCCTAGACTTTTTAAGGCTCAATATTAAGTCTTGGTGGTGAGGTTGTTTGGTAAATTTAGCTTCTGCCTAATTTTATTTATAAGCTAATAAAAAAATAATTAACATTTTATATTTTTAATTGATCGAAAAACTAATAAAATAAAAAAAGGTATTTTACCGGGGAAAAAACGGCAGAGTCCATAAAAAACCTCACTTAAAAAAGAAAACCTATAACGTAAATTATTATATTTAAATTATAAATACAACTTTAATTGCATAAAAAATTAGTTCCTTTTGTAATATATCTTTAAAATTTTGATCCTTCCCCTAAAAATAAAAAAGTTATATAGGTTTAAAAGTTTAAAAATGATTTATAGCAAAATGAAAAAATGTGACCCTGCCGTTTCTTCCCGTGGAGTCTTAAATTGTTTACTTAATAATGTTAAATGCACACATTTAAATAAATTTATTAAAAATAACAAAGTTTGTTATAAATAACTATGCAACTGAGTACAAATACCTTTCAAACAAAAAAAATTTAATTTACGATCAAACATGGGTATAACAAATTTTTTAATGCATTAATGCATCATACGACAAACCTAAAATAAAAATTATAAGAGATAAGTAGACATAAAAATTTGTAAACCAAGTTGACCCGACCCGGGTCTTGTTAAGTCTGTTCAACACAGACCATTTCTATATTATTTGTTTGGTCTCTTTATTTCATTATTTTTTTAGTAAACGGTAATTTGCTACCATTTACTAAAAATTCCTTTTGTAACTCGAAAATTAACTTTCTTAAATATTTTGACTCCTATAAAGAGGTTCCTCCCCTCTTTTTGCTTTAATGGTGCCAGGTGAACAAAATAAAATAATAAAATGTAAAACAATGATCTATATATATATATATATATATATATATATATATATATATATATATATATATATATATATATATATATATATATATATATATATATATATATATATATATATATATATATATATATATATATATATATATATATATATATAAGCATGTTTTCTTTCTTTCCTCAAAATTGTTGCAAATACAGACTAAGCTAACTAATTAGTTAAACACATAAATAAAACTTAAGTAACTCGATATTAATGCGCTAAACTACAATATTCTCTTTGTTTTTAAAGGTTTTTAGTTACGACCCGTCATTTACAAAAATCCCCTTAAAATACGTACAACAATTTATTAGGTATAAAATAGATAAAATATAAAATTAACTAATAGCATATATTTATATCTTTTTAACTAACAAAAATTTACAATAAAAAAAAATCAGGTTTTTTTATTTTATAAATCTTACAAATAAGTACAACATATTATTAGGCATAAAATAGATACAATATAAAATTAATTAATAGCACATTTTTATATCTTTTTAACTAACGAAAATTTACAATAAAAAGAAATCAGGTTTTTTTATTTTATAAATCTTACAAATGCGTCATAACGTAATTCTAAAATAAAAAAGTAATGAAATTATGATATCATAACTACAAAGAAAAAAAAAAAAAAAAAACCACCACACAATTATCAAAAATCGATTTACCTAT